TGTGAAGGGATCAAGCCAAAACGTAGTCCTCTTATGTAAATAACTCCCACTAACCAAAAATATCAAAGATTTCCACCATACCCATATTAGTAACATGAGTCTTAAAAACTTTAGGAGCGAGTCTCTCAGTCAAAGGATCTACAATCATCGCCTTTGTTATGACAATAGTAATTTGCATCGAGATGGAGTCAATAACTTTCAGCCCAGAAATAAAATTCCTTAACCAAACGGCTTGAATTGTAGCTCCATAACATGCCACAAATTCAGCCTGCATAGTAGAAGATGCCACTAGAGTCTACTTAATACTTTTCTAAGAAATAGCACCACCAGCCAACATGAAAATATAACCTGAGCTTGATTTCAAATCATCTTGATATCTAGCAAAATCTGAGTCTGAGTAGTCTACCACCTTAAAGTGATTTGAACGTTGGAAAGTGAGGATATGACTTTCAGTTTTCTTTAAGTAGCTCATAACTTTCTTAGCCGCTTTCCAATGCTCTTACCCAGGATTCGACTGAAACTTACTGAGAACACGTCGTATATAAGCCTTCTGAAAAAATCCCAATATGCCACGAATTCTATCACGGTGTATATCAATGCCAAGCACATAAGTAGCTTCTTCAAGATCTTTCATTTCATAATTAGTAATAACATTTCCTTTTTTCTCACAAAGTAACCCCAAGTGACAGCCAGGAAGCAAAACGTCATCAACATACATGACAAGATAAACAAATTTCTCCCACTAGTTTTGAGATAAACACATTGATCAACTGTCTCTTCAAAAAAATCAAGAGAAGTCACAACCTCGTCAAAATTCAAATACCACTGCCATGATGCCTACTCCATGCCATACAAGGATTTATTCAACTTATATACCAAGTTTTCTTTTCCCTTCTCAATGAAAAATTCATTAAATGTGAAACTCCCACTATCACTAATTTTTCAGAAATTTAGCAGTGATTGACTCAACAATTCTGCAATGGATTTTGTCAACTTTCCTCTTATACAATTCACACTAGTGTCACAATCAAAGAAGTCGAGAGAGGGAAGTATCTTAACTTTAACAACTCTCTTCATCCTACCATTTGAAATGTGACCCAATCGCTTATGTCAACATGGAGAATGATTCAGGAATCAGGGACATTTTTTTTGACATATTCGCAACATAAGAGACTTTACCAAAAGAATCCAAAGATAATTTATATAAACCATCACATAAGAGGCCATATCCAATCAAACGAGAATCATAAATTAATTCAACAATTCCATTACCAAAAAATAAAAATAAAAAACCAGAAGCATCAATTTTCGATATAGAAATTAAATTTCGTCTCATTGTCGATACAAAAGTAGTATTACTTAAAACAAGCGAGAAACCGAAATCCTAAAATAAATTCACTACTCCTATGAACTCAATTTTCACTTGAACTCCATTCCCAACGCACAGACTTACTCCATTTTCACTTGGCCTCCATTTGCTCGTGAACCCTTGCAGACACTTCTTCTTCTCCAACAAAGTCTTAAACTTAAAACAATCTTTCTGCCGTGACCCTTCTTATTGCAGAACTTGCATTGATCATTTTTCTTTATCGTTCCTTTGGGGCCGCCAGAAGTCTAACCTCCAAAATTTTTGTTCTGCTGATTGCAGCGTGACTTGTTACCCTTGTGGAACTTAGACTTGTGATTATAAGAAGACTCATTGCCCTGTGGTGGCTGAAAAGCTAATTGTACAGTTTCGACATTCTCACGCTTCAACCTATAATTTTCTTGGGCATATACAGCAATAAGGTCATTCAAAATAAGAAACCTTCAGCTGATTAAACTGGCTCGAAAGGCTATTTAGAACATGATAGACCAAAAAAGGCTTAGCAATGGGAATTTTAAGAGTATTTAATTTAGAAGATATATTTATCATCTTCATAACGTGCTCCATCATACCACTTATACCATCATATCTCATATTCATTAGTTTGTCCATCAGATATCCAGTTTCAACTTTATCAAACTCAAACAAATCTCACTCCTATGGCATCCACAAAAGTTTTAGCATTTTCATTATCCGGAATAGCACCCATAATGTAATCGGATATGGAGCGCTTAATAATTTTCAAACAAAGTCTATTAGCACTTTCCCACTTTTCATACTCAGCACATATACATGATCACTTTTATCTATGGGTTTCGAAAGCTGCTTTTCCATTGCAAAATTCAACGCCAAAAGACCAAGTGCTATTTTTACGTCTCGTTTCCATCTCACATAATTATTCCCAGTCAAAGTTTCAATAGCAGACAATTGACTCGAAAGAGTTGAGTCATTTAATACTGTGGAAACATAAAATACATATTTAATATCATCCAAACATAGTGCATGCAGACAATGGATGATAACATATTCATCTAATTAACGTAAGCTACTGATTAGATGATCCGTAATTACTGTCAAAACCAAATGAACATTATTACAGTAAGAACCTAGATGCATCATTATAAAGTCGCATTTGGGCGACAATATAACACGTTGTAGGGTACTCTTAAAACACATAATCGAATCAGTTAACGGAACATATTGGCTTTCGAAAACACCAACACCTTTAGGTAGAAAAAGATTTCTAGACCAAATAAACTCGTTAACTATTTTATGCCAATATAATAACATATTTGGACAAGATATTATATGTAATAATCCAAAATTACGATGTTAACTCCCCCTTTTTTTGGAAGAAAACCAAATAAATAAAAAATGAGAGTGTCACTTTGACAGCTACCACCCACTTTTATTTCAAAATATTTCTCATAATGGAAGCACTAAGATAGACTTGAAGTCCACCAAAAATTGAATTATAATAATCACGCAACATAATCATAATCATTAACTGACGAAAAACGAATTTTATTCGGGATTATGAGACGAAATTGACAACTTAAATTTCAATACATAAAAATGAAAAATGAAAAAAATAATAACGACATTTAATTATTTCAACAAAAATATAAAGTCATCAATTTTAAATATAATTTTAATTCTAGGTCAAAATTGAAATATATAAGTCAATTTTGAATATAATTTTAAATTTAGTTCAAAATTGAAAAATTTTTGGATCAAATTTTAAAAAATCTCATTTAAATTTAATGTTTCAAAATTACACAATTGACCCCAAATTAAAATTATGAATGGAGGGCCTCAAAATATAGAAATTACAGAACATGTCCATTTTCTTTAAAATTTCAAAATGGCCCTTAGTTAAAATTGCTGGAAGCCCAAAAAAAAATTCAAAAATTGCATGAGGAGCCCCCATCCCCAAATCAAACCAAAACTCCATCTTAATCTCAAAATCCCAAATCAATTGAAACCATTTTGGCAAAACCAAAAATCTAAGTCAGCCCATTTCCTCGTCCCCGTGCAAATTTTTTTTTTCCACGCAGCTTACGACCGGCAAATCAACCGGAAGTCGTGAGCTGCGTCTGCAACAGCATGCAGCCGGCGCTGCAGCGCTCGGCGCACCAAACAATGAGTAGCAGTGAACGCCGCTTCAAAGGGCGCACCAAACAATGAGTAGCACTGAACGCCGCTTCAAAGGATAGACTTGCACCAAACAATGAGTAGCAGTGAACGCCGCTTCAAATGATAGACTTGCACCAAACAATGAGTAGCAGTAAATGCCGCTTCAAATGATAGACTTTCAAAGTCCCAATATTATACAAGAAACTAAAGTCAATATGTTTTTCATCCAAGATTACACTTTCAATAAATTCCAAAAACATAAAAACATCAACCAAGAACATAACCAATAATGAAAGAGACCCACACCGAGCGTAATTGTAGTCAAATTGAAAAAGTGCACAAACAGGTCACACAAAGTAATCATGAGGCCGTAATATACACAGTTCTAAATTCTAAGAGTTTCGTGAGATTCACAATCTCAGTACCAAAGGAATGGTCTAATGGGCCAGGTCCAGATGTTCTAACCGAATAATCAATACAACACAAAGGTGTGTCAACAAAAAATTCAATTTCTCACGTAATACAGTCTCACACAGTTACTTAATGGCAATTAAATACAAAAATAATTATCAACGTGCAATTAAATTCAACACTTCAAATATGACAAATAATTCCTAAATTTCTAGCACAAACAATAATTACCCCCACACGATAATCCCAATTTTAGTATCACCACACACGATGGCTCACTAATACTGAAATTTCCACGGGATAAGCCAATATACCAGAGCGGACCAATCAAAGTCTATAAATAATGAGAAATGCAAATTTACTATTTTAAGGCTACTGCTATTCACCTTAAAGTCTCCAGCACCTGCGACAACTAATCAAGCAAAAGTCAAATCTCGAATGCGGAGGGTCAAAATCGTCCAAATTACATCATAGCACTCAAAATTGAAAACGAACACCATCATAGTGTCCGTCTCATTGTCGAGAGAAAACTATCTGAAGAAACTGTCACCAGAGAAGGCCTCACGCGCCCACACGAACGGTGGCTGGAGTTTCACGTGCCGGCTGCCACGCACTGTCGCCACCGGTCACATGCCACCCATTCATGTGCACTTTGGTCTGCTGAACACGCAAGTGATCTTGGTTTCCCTAACTGGCCAATTGTTTGGCCAAAAAACGCATAAATAGGTCCAGCAGTTTTTGAAATAATCTAGATAAATTCTGCTTTATTTTTCTACTCTATTTCTGGGTGTTTTCAGATCAATTTTTGGCCGGAAATCCACAATTTGATACCAATTATTGCGGAAGCGATCTTCAAATTTGTGGAATTCGGGCCTAGTTTAACTATATCAACATCAAACACACAACCAATCGCTCCAACCCACAAGTATGTTTTACTTTGGTTACTTAACACAATGTATCCAAAAAGAACACAATAGGTTTTCTACAATATGTAACCAAGAAGAGAAGGAAGACAAGTTTTGATTTCCCAACACGAAGAGAGAAAACACAAAAGAACGGTTGCCTCTTTTCTAATTGCACACATACAGCTTCTTCCAACAAGGAGGCCATATATAGATCTAGGGTAATTTAAGTGGGCTCTAATAGTTGGCACACGGACCAACAAATGGGTAAAGGGTCGGAACATAAAAGAGAGTTATCCAAAAAGTAAATGGGTCGTGAGCAACATTAACTTAATTAAGTTGCTTCCAACGATCCCCAAGTTATTTTTGGATTGAGCCAATTGATTGATGTGTTGATAATAATTTCACTTATCGATCGATGCCTATGAAACTTAATTTAAACAATTTAACATCATCTCCCGATATTTATTGGGTATCAAAACCTAACACTTTGTTCTCCTTTTTTTGTTAGAATAATCTCTCAGGTTATGAGAGAGAGATTATTTTTCTACTCTATTTTTTTTGGATTATACAAAGTTTTTGTTTAAATATATTTTATATTTACATATTTAATTATTGTTACATTTCTAAAAATAAGTGTATCATAATAATTAGTTGCTTAGATTTCAAAATTTTCAGGGTCGACCATGATCTTAAATAGGATATGAAGTTGTGCAACATTATTTTCATTTTGAATATCCTTTCATCTCGAACATTAGTTCATCAATATTTTGCTTGTGGATAGAAAGTGGAAATTTACATATGAAATACCTCTTCATCAGATTTTCTGTATTTCAAATATGGTGCACAAATAGTTCAAGTAGACGGGTCCAATTTTTCCATGAACCTAATACGCGACCAATAATCTCATATGTAAAAAAATTGTTAAGGGGTAAATATATAAGTCTCCTGTGTAAAATTTTGCGAGGGGTAAATAGATAAGTGAAATTAAGCGCGTGTTTGACCTAGGGGTGGGCATGGTTCCATTTGGTTTTGGTTAAAAAAAAATGGAACCGAACCACGGACCAATGATTTTTTATTTTTTATACTGAAACCAAATGGTTTTTTTCTTTTAAGATATGGAACCGAACCATTCGATTTTAATTTGGTTTGGTTTGGTTTGGTTCTAATTCTATTATTGAGAGAGAGAGAGAACGTTTGAGGAAGAAGAACCAAAGGTGGATATTTCAATTTCAGAAATTCATGCAACGGTGGTGGCTGAGCACGACGGAAGACGGTAGACGGCAGGCGATAGTTACTGATCTCCATGTAAGAGTCGATATATAAATTGAAAAAGAGACAAAATGATAAATGAATTAGGGTCCGGATTTCCAAAATGAATTAGGGATCTCCACTGTCCACATTGAGAAATGAGAAACCGAATGTACATTACCATTTTGTCCTGATTTTCAATTGAATTTTGATTTTTTTGGTGTGAACCGTGATTCACTAATAATAATAATAATGAGTTTGATTCTTGATTTTAGAATTAGAACCGAATACAAATGGTTCTCAAGTTTTGGTCATTTTGTCCACCCCTAGTTTGACCCCCCATGTTTTAAAACTTATTTTTCTTTAAATTCATTTTCAATTATATATTTTATAGAACTTACAACTTTTATCAACCTTGAAATCAAACATTTCATAAATTTTATCAAAATTTAATTTCTAATGAAATCCAACAGAGGTTAAATTTTCAACAAAAAAATGAGAAAAGAGAAAGAAAGGGAAGACAGAGTGTAGAAAGAAGAAGACAGAGTCATTCCCATATATTCAACACCATCACATTTATGTAAATCTTGTTTGAACATAAGACAAGATCCCCTCTTTTTCACTCTTTCCCCCATTAACTAACCAAAGATGATAAAGATAACTGAAATTATAGAAAAAGCAAGGCAGAAATTTATTAGATAGTGGGTGGTCTTTTTCCACTTCATTCTTCGGCCAGAGACTTGAGCTTGTAGGCACCCATGATTGTTAGCACAAATAGGGAAATGAAAGCCAAGTATGATAGTGCAATTGACACCAAAATTCTGTCACAAAATTTGTCCACTCGATCACAAATTTTTATCCAGCCTGTTTGGTTCTGTCCAAATTTTCCCACGTACCCGATTGCTGTACTTGCTGCGCATCCTGATATCAACACGACCATATTTACCTGTCAAAAAAATCACATGCACTAAATTATTTGGTTAGAAACAAAAATGGTAATGAAATAACGGAGGGTTTTGATTTACCATATCATGGCAGAGCAAGAAAAAGTAATTGTTGGTATTGGATTTGAGATGACTAAATGAATAAACAAGAACCACTGACAGTAATGAGACGGCGCATACAACCGAATCTGCAATAACCTTGAATCTACCAGACATTAATGAGTATTAATTAATTTGTTGGGTTGGTACGATCAAATTAATCAATGGTTAATGAACCTGAAAGCAGATGAGTAGGTATAACGGGCTTGCATAACGATTCCAAAAATAGTTACTGACTGCTTACTGGTTACCATAGTAATCGCCCCGGCTAATGTGAAAGCAACCACCGCCATTCTCAGGGACATTTGTGCCACGAAGAAAGTTTTCGAAGATTTGGCGACCTTTTTCAGTGGCCAAGTAAAGGATTTTGGCATCTCGGTATCCATAGTAGGAGTTTTGAATTTTTTATTAGAAGAGAGAAGCTGTTCAGGTAAAAAGAGTGAGAAATGGAGGCAGAGAAAATGCGAAGCAGAACGAGTGGACAAAATAAAGAGCATGTTTATATAACCCCATATCAGATCATAACCTCCTAATGTAAGCCATTAGACAGACTTTTGAAAAGTCAAAAATTACTTTTCAATTGCCTAAGTAGGATGGCTTGTGACTTTAGGTTGCCTAGACGAGAGGAATGAACCACAAACACGGACTGAGACTGTGTATCATTTGGGGTTGTTTCATTCTGTGTCACATTTTTAATCCCGGCAGGGTGATGGCTTATTTGTGGGGCATTGGCTTCTCACTAGCGTGTTCGTTAAATATTAAAATTGAAAAATTAGTTGTTATTTTTTACTTTTATTAGACGAGTGGGACCCAATAACGTATATATTTTCAATTTTAATTAAATTTTAAGTTTAGCCAAACATGCTCATAATTTAGTGAACTCCTCTCCAAACACGCCCCAAAACCAATAATAATAATAATAATAATAATAAGGTTCACAAATTGCTGCGTGTCAATCATTTTTGTTACACGTCATATGCCCGAAAAATTAAGCTACGTCTACAAGAAGCCATCAGTATAAAAAATTAATGAATCATGCAATAATTATCTTACAAGACACGCATGTGGAAGCTGAAGCCTATATTAGAAAGGTAAAGCATCTCAATCAGTTGATGCAGAATTTCCCCCATCTACTCAAAAACTTGTGGGAAGAGAGAAAAGGAATTTAATTTCATTATACATTTTTAAAATGCGAGTCTAGAAATTTCAAGTACCACTACAACACGAATAATTCGCCCAACACTCCAAAGGAAGACAATCAAACAAGAAATTTGCGACCCATAACAATTTGTAATCAAATAACATAGGTTGAGCCATGCATCACATCAACCACTTAAAATCTTGCTTCATAGAGTTTCAATTTGTTTCACTATCAATACAATACACCATATATGTCTCTACTATCTTCTATTTTTATCATTGATATCAATGAATACAGAATCATCAACTTTACACAATCAGTCTCGATAAGGTAAAAATACTTGTGAAGAACCCTCCATCCACCACTCTCCAAATAGGATCCACTAATTTATTTATTTTTTTGTTTTTGACATAATCAAGATGTTGCTCAATCCAAAACAAATCAGTTATAAAGCATTTTTAATTAATAGCATATCCAGAAATTCAACGAGTTTTTTAACAGTAATTTGTTAGTGAAAAAATATCAAGATCCCTTCTCCAGGAACAAGTGCATCTGTCTTTCTTTTTAATCTCGTCCAGAGAGGGAAAGGAGTTGCACGATGTACCATGCATTATGATGTCAAAATCGTAAGAGCAGCTTTTCTTGTAGTGCTAGCGTGAAAAAATATGGATTGAGAATGGCAGAATGCTGAAAGACTGAATAAAAGATCATCAACAAAGACGCAAGAATGACTATATTTACAGACACCAAGCAAGAAACTGGTATAATAGACTCAGACCCAGTAAGCCGAAATAACACAAACGTCCCATTAACAGAAGCCACGGAAATTTTCTCCCACCTGCCATCCACCGAAGTATCAAGATTCAGAATTAGAATATGTATCAGGATTGTCCAAACATCAAGCCCATTTTCCCAATAATTGCATCATTTCTTAATTGTGGAAGGTTTACTTTTATATGCAAGGCAAAAATGCAAGAAACTAAATATTCTCCAATGAAGGAAAACTCCAGGGGTTGCAAAGCTTGTGTCGTCACCACCCAATACCCAGAGCATCAACGTTTACCATGGCTTGAGATTGTGAGTGGAGACGAAGTGCAAGATCATTAGCATAATGGTTGGCAATGAGTGCAGGATGGCTCTTGTCAGATCAATTCATTTCCACCCAAAACTCCCCCCTTCACCCTATGTCTTCTACCCCAACATGAAGAGGGAGAAAATACAAATAAAAAAAATGAAACCACAAGCCCAACGCCTATTAGGAAAATAAACTAGCACAGAGAAATCAAGCGCCCATCATGACTTTTTTCTTTCATCTTTTGTGGGCATTATCACACCTTTTAATGTATGCCAATAGAATAATGCTACCTAGCACCTGTGGTCCTGAAGGACCAGTTTAGATGGTCACACTTGATAAGTTCAATTAAATGAATTATGTGACCTTGCATTTAAATTAATCTATCATTTAATGTCATTAAGTTGTCACTTAGACTGGTGCTTAGTGGGCTGAATAGCATTAATCATGCCAATATGTATTAGGCCATAGAATCTTCAAACAATCATAGTTTAAGAAATTTACAATCTAGGAGGTAACATCTATAAGTACGGCACGTACCTATTATCCATCCAGAAGTTAGGACTTCGTGCTTCATAGGGAAATAGGGGTTAATGGAGGAGAAGCCACTTTTTCAGTCTTGATCTCAATTTGGGAAGATTCCAATAGCTTGCCCGCATGTAAAGCTAATGCTCTCTGACCACTAGAGGGTATGGATAAACTTCGCGGAACGGTTAGTTGAGGAAGTGGAAGTGAAGATCCTTCTTTTGATGACGGCAAAGGATTCCTATTTGTAGGAGATGCTTCTCGATTTCTGTTGACCGGGGGAGCAGAGTGCCCAAGAGCACCAGCAGAAAACATAGGCTTGGAGCCTAAAGAATCAGGGGGCCTAGGGAGCTCATGAAGCTCACTTATTCTAGGAGAAGATACATAGGAAGCACCATGGGATACATTTACAGATAACGACAACTGGGAAACAGGCACACGAGAAAGTAACCCAGAAACAGATTGAGGTAGTTCAGAAGAGCCAATGGGTCCACTGGTAGATAATATGGGCTTGTTTGATGATGATTTACTTGCTAATGAACTGGAGAAAGCGTGTCTTTCAATTTCCCGAGCATTAGATCCACTTTGTATGTCAGATTTTGGGGCTGTACCACCCTCAGTCAGAGGACGGGGCAGTGGGAGAGAGTGTCTGTTGTTGGCTCTCTCTTTGACTGCTATATCGGATTTTGAGAAATTACATGCATACAAATTATTGTCAGTGAATTTTCTGTGCTTCTCTGCATCAAGTGGGGATGAATGCCACGTACTTTTGGTGCTCCCAACAGAGGTTGCAGTGCTTGACAGGAGGGAAAAACTGCTTGTTATTGAACTCATTGCATCAGCTGGAGTGGGTAGCACGTGTGTATTAATTTTCGGCGCTGTTATCTGCATTTCTCTGATTCTTTCAGCAGGATCAAATTTCTGTGCAAGTATTGGAGCAGAATGACTGCCTCCTCGAGGTTGCTGACTCGAAATTTGCTCCCCTTGGTGTTTACCAATATTTATCTGCACAAACCATATTATATAAGTTTTAATGGCCAGAAGATGAGCATTTATATTCCCAGTTAAAGAACATCAATTGTTAACAATTGAAATGGAAATGAGAATGACATACTCTTAAGTGGCCTAATTCAACCCATCCAAAGGGTGATTGAAATCCAGAGAACAAAGACAAAATTGAAATAAAATTACAAAACTTCATCACATGAATTGATTTTTCAACAAAAATCTGCATTTTAACATGGATAAAATATTTTGGTCATTATCACTTCATTATGGAGGCTGAACCAATACCCTAGGCAAACATCGACAGGGGATCGTAAAGAATACCACTTTCATTTTGATTTATTTCATGATGCAAGTGAGATTGCTATACTGTGGAAATTTTTGTTGGGATTTCCTTTATATTCACTTGATGGCTCGCCTTTTTGGCCTTCGTTCTGTTTGAGACGAGACTTTTCCCCAAAATCGTTCACAGAATTTCATTTTGGTGTTATTTCTTAAAATACCTGTAGATCATTTTAATCACAATTATTTGTTCAATTCCATAAACATATGTCGATAGCATTACAGGAATTCCCAGGTGTCAAAGCTTATCTACATTTTTTAGGTGTCCTTGGTTATATATTACATTTTCAACCATACAGTACATACTTGCCAAGGCCTGGCTACAACAAAAGAGGAAAGTGATGTTTCCTGAATCCAGGTTAAGAAGAAATGTGAACAAAATTATGTGCTGCTAAGTTCTTTTACAATTCATCGTTGTTGAGTTAAAGAGTTCCTTGCAATATCCCAATTGTGGGAAACCATAATCTAGATCACCATAATTTTCTAGGTATATTGCACCCAAAAAACAATCAGCTTATTTTGTAGCTAAAAAGAATAAATGTTAACATAGAACTTAAGTGACCCTAGAACTAAGAATTGCTAATTCAAGTGAAATAATAAGTTTCATTGATTCAAAGCTATAATAAATGAACTAGAAAAGCTATGCGACAGTTTGAAGCTGAATGATTAGCAAGCAATCTCACCTCCATTGAGTTCATTGAAATTGAAGCATGGTCAAGCTCCTGCTTATTTTGCCCATAGTCAAAACTTAATTCTTCAACATCATTAGCCTCAAATCTGTTCCTTTCTTCACCAACTTCACCATCATCCAACCCACGCAGTTCATAATCAATATGTTGCCTATCTGCAACTTTTTTAATATGTTGTTCAACTGCTTTGAGAGAATGAAGTCCTTTCCGGAAAAAATTTAACTGCTTATGCAAAATAAATAAATGAAATAAAGTTAAATGCACATCTGGCATGTACAGAAGTGGAAAATATTAAACTTGAAATCATGACAATACAAGAACACCTGTGCTGCATGGTGACGTGCTGCCTGTGTTAATAAACTCTGGCGTTGTCCTTGTTTCAAGGATTCTACACGAAAAATGCAAAGCCTTGCAGCCTCATCATATTCTTCACGAACTGTTTGCAATTGCATTGAGGTAAAAGTCTCTCCATTTCCATGTTTTGACCTTCCCGTTTCTTTACATTGTCCCACCATGTATTCAAACATCTCTCTGATATCATGCAATCAATCAATGCAATACATGGAAAAATACCCCACGTATAAATATGGAAAAATGTATACCTTTTCTCATCACACTGCAATTTCATCTCCTGCAGCAGTGAAAAGGACAATATCATCTAAGTATGCCCCACAAAAAAGCACCAGTAAACAGGATGAATTCCAAGAATTAGAATGCCGAACACATACTATATCATTACAATAACAAAATGATTTAAAGTAATTTAGCAGATACAAGCTCATGGAGGTGTTCAAAGCAACCTCAGAGATACCAATTTGCATGTTCATGGGAACATTTCTTCTTTCTTCTTATTCTGGGGGATGGGTGTAGGAGAGAGGGGGAAAGATAGAGAGAATTTACAGCATCTTGAGGGTAGCATAGTTCATCAGAAAATAACTAAAGATATGTCGAGATTTACTATCTTACGCTCAACAACAATGTTCCACGTTTCTCGACCACTTTCAGTGAGTATTACATGTCATACACCACATTTTCTAGTATCTTTTAACTGTTTCATAAGCTCCTTGTGCACCATATCAGTTGTTTAGTTATAATGAGCTCCATTAATATATTCTTGTACTGTGCCAATAATCAAATTACCACAAGCTTTTCTATTTAAGAAAACCTTGTTCTCTACCTTCAAAATTGTGCCAGTGTATCAAAGAGTTACAGAAAGCTGTTTACGTTGGCAGAATCCTCTCAGCGTGTTAATAAGATAGAGAGATGAGGGCAGGGTTCAGATTATATATTTATAAGACCATATTGAATACAGTAATATATGATGAACAAACCTCCACTTTCCTTAGCTCGCTTAGTAGAGACTCTGATGGGTTTGTAATTGTCTTGATAATATGAGACCGCTGAAATATAAAAAATAGCAAGTTATGACCGTGTTCTCAATTACATTCGGAAATCTCAAACATTGGCATTTGGCACAGCAATAAACACGCACATAGTGATCAGCAAGTTTCTGGAGTTGAAGCTGAACCCTTCCCAGCATTGCTAATGCTCTGCCTGCAAAAACATAGAAGTCAAGGGCATTTGGATTTTGCTTTCTAACTTTTAGCAACAAAAGGATATTCAAGCAGTTTTGATGCAAATGAAAAGCAAAAATACTCAGACAACAGGAGCTTCAAGTCATGGGAAAAAATTGATGATGGGGAGCAGAAGTGGAAGTAAGCTGAAGAATAAAGCGAATACAAGATCTTACAAGCATCATACAGAATAAGAAATCATGTTAGAGGTAGCAAAATGACATAATTTTATGTGAAAAGACTTGCAATTAAAGCTAAAGTTGCTGATTTTACGAAGATATCAAGTTTCTTTACCTAGATTTAATCGTAAATTTGACAATAAGCAGATAGAATTTGGGAGAAATTTAGCAACTACAAAGGTTGGCAACAAGATAAGAAACATTGTGAATCTTCTGAATGAAGCTTTGAGAACCCTCGGCTTACCACTTTCTCCACCATTATTTACAGCAGTGTTCACCAGCAGACAATTCCCCATCTCGAACAGTGACTCAGAAAACTCTGAAAGGAAAAGTATCAAATTGATGACAAATTACTGAATATTGTTAAAGATTAAAGCATAAGGCAATCTGTCGCTTAATAGTGATCTAAATTTATGAATTTCATTGTTTGAATATCTCAGTTTTGCTGACTAAAGTAAAATTCAATTTTCTTTCAAAAGATTGCTCTTTCTAATCACTTAACCATCTTCAAGATTTTCAATTACAACTTTTAACAGATGAGACTTGAGGAACTTTTCAAATTATAAGCCAAGAATAGTGATTGGCATTGCGTCTTTCTCTAATATATAGATAGAAACAAGTTCAGTAGACGTGTTAATGGTTAGGAGAGAGGTCAGAAGCAAGAAAAAGAACAGATTGAAGAAAAAGATTTATTAGTTCTTGATGCGAAAGAAACAGAAGAATAAGTGCCAGTCACAGTGATCAACGAAGAAACAGACTGAGATTAGTATCCAGGTTGGAGGATGTCAGATAATTATTTTGGATGGAATTTGATGTAAATTTGGTAGGTAAGAGAAAAAGTAAAGTTACCAAAGTAAACAATGAGGAGACAGAGATTGGAGTCCAAGGTGGTGGAATTCAGATCATTATTTTGGATGGAATTTGACGTATAATTGGAAGATAAGAAAATTTGTAAAATTACCAAAAACAAATCTGGCTGACTTGTGCTTTTGCTGTTGGCATTCTAATAAAAGATATACTGGTATAAAAGGACCTATTTAAAACATATATTAAAGGAAACAAAGTCATAAACCAACAAATTAATAGTGCTCATTTCCAATTAAGAATCGTTTCAAAAACAGAAGAGGAGCGCGTTAGAAAAATGAGCTGCATATTTGTTTGTTAAAATTATATGGGAGACAAAAGTTTTTAGACAAATGTCAACAACATAATTTGTATCTTACACCCTTTCAAAAAATAAAGATCTTATATCACCAGTAAAATAGCAGATAAAAGAAGTTGAACTCTCTGATAATCCATTATATTATTTGAATACTCTGTGTTCTAGACCATTATAAATTTTGAAGACTATATTCTATACTGGTGTAATCTTAGCTCAAGCAATAATCACCAGACACCCACTCCTTCCATTCTATAAATTTTGCTTGATTTCAAAATCTAGTGAAATTGACATTTGAATTATATTTTAGCAACTGCAAACAAGATGTTCCCCAGTATTTAAACTTTCAGGTATATGAATTGCATTTGAGAGAGTGACGCATGGACAAGTTCAGACCACTCGGCAGTTTAGGTCATGAATTTAGATCTACCTGCTGTTAAAAATTTTATTAAAACGAAAATTTAACTTTGAAATACAATTTCGACTATTAAATCACATCAAGCAAGTACCATAAGCACTATTTGTTGTAGCAGCAGCTGCAGAGAGTAAACTATCGTAGCAAGTTCTCATGTCTTTCATATCCTGCAAACATAATGCATCAAACAGAAAGACAATAAGATTGCAAGAAGCAAGAGCACCTACGTCAAATTGTTTCAAAAATATTACAAGTTAAAAAAAAAAACCATATTGACATTGAAAAATGAAACCTATATTATTACTCCTTTCGCATATAACTAGGTTTTTCACGAGCTCATCAGTTGGCTACCAATAATTTACTCTGCGAAAAATTATGTCCAATAATTCAAAGAGACTTAAGTATGGGATACTGTACAGGCAACTAAAATGGAAAAACTTGCGCCTCCGGAATTTAGGAATTATAAAACAAAAAAATCCGTTTAATTGAATGACCATTTCAATTTATTTATTTTCAACTTTTGATTCGGTCCCAAAAATTGCTTGACCCATTATGGTATGTTGAAATTTGAGGAGAGCTACCCAATTCACTTGACTGAGGCATCAACATTGCCTCCGAAATTAACGCATCATACGGATAAGGAAATTGACACTAAAACTTGTTTCAAGATCACTTGATTAAGGGAGAAGGCGTAAGAATTAAAGCACAAGTAAAAAACCATAATTGTTCGAAGCAAAAGAACAAGATCCACCTTAGCAGCTTGACCAAGCCCATGTAAATGAGCCGAAATATGGTGATCCCAGTTTTCCTTGGCATCGATCTTGTGCAGTGCGAATTTTCTCAGCTTCCCCAGTGGCGACTTCATTTCCGAACACTAGATTTTTCGTATCAATTGAAGAATTTATGTCTGCTTTAGAATTTACTGATACAAAAAACAAAATTAAGAAAAAGGAAAGAATAAAGTTCAATTTATCTACCATAAAAGGATCGAACGAGCAATACTGAAAAAAAACAATAGCCAAAAGAAAAAGGCGTTCAAAGAGGAAATTGGAGGAGAAGAAAATTCTAATGTTAAGCGCCCAAGTTAAACAGGCAGCTCCTCACTAACCCCTACGTGTAATGTCCTTCTTGGTAATTTCGCACTCGGTTGCTTAAGGGTGGGTCGACTTTCCTCTAATTTTGGCCAGTGTGAACTAAAGTCGTGGGATCTCGCGTCTGATGTAGTCATTTTCTTGATTTGTTCCTTCTTTATACGTGGCGGGAATTTCCCTTTCCGATTGCAATCCCAGCCAGAGTGTGTTTGGGAGAAATTTTTATGGAATTTTATTAAAAATTATAGCCGTTAAAGTCAACCTGTGGGCTCTACCTGTAAGAGGGAATGACAAAAATGATGTCTGATTTGACAGTTAACGGCTAGATTTTTTATTAAAATCCTGATTAACATTTCTCCCAAACAGGACCTTACTATTTAATATTTTCTCATTACAGTACTTATATTCCTACAATTTTTCATGTCATTCTTGTCCTCAAGCTTTTCGTTAGTTAACACATTTTATATTTAATAACAATTTTATGTCTAAAAGTTCGTTAAATTAACGTAAAACAACTTATTTTTCCATCACATATTTAAAAAATAAATTAAAAAAATGTGAAAAAAAAATACTTTTTCCTTATTTCAAAGTATAAAAATAAAATAGTTTGATATAAATTATCATCAAGAACGAAACTTACTAATTAATAGAAGGTTGAAAATTAGAATTCAACGAAAAAAAAAGTTAACTTTTATGTGCATATTTATTAACTTTTAAATATTTTTAGGGTGATTATATTACCACCATAATTTTTATTTCATACATCACATTTTAATTACAATTAAACTCCTCATTCTTTACTCATTTTAGCAATTATTTTCATAATTTTTCGTCGAATTTTTATCTCCAACCGTCCATTAATTAATGCTTCCCATCCTTGATGATGATTTATATCAAAATATTTTGTTTTCGTACTTTGAAATGATGAAAAAAATCGCAAATTTAATTAATTAATTAATTTATTAAAAATATGATGAAAAAATAAGTTATTTTACGTCATTTCAACAAACTTTTGAATATAAAACTATTATCAAATAAAAAATATATGTTAACTAATGGAAAGTTCGAGGATAAGAATGATATGAAAAATCGTTAGTGATATAAGTGGTATAATAAATAAAGATTAAAAACCTTTGGTACAATTAAAATATGACGCAAGAAATAAAAATTGTAGTGTGAATATAATTATGCATATTTTTATTGGAAAGTGATCTAACAAGTAATTTAAGCTATTAACTTAGCTCTTGTTTGGTAGGTGTGAAAGTAAACAATTACTATAATCACATATTCATATGATTTATAATTTTTCAATCATATATTTCATCATTTTTTTTAATCGAAATATACTACAAATTTAATTTTAATCTCTACCAAATATAAGTGTAAATTAATCTAATCATTTAGATCTATTAAAATATTTATTGAAATGTATTTAGACATGAGCGTAGCGATTTATAATTCTAGAAAGTTAAACTAAGAATGACGTTATTTAGTTAAATTCATGGTAGAAAAAAGGGTTCCACATCTCCTATTTGATCTCCATTCTCTAAAATTCAGTTTTTGTCAAACTCTTTTTTAATCATACGTTCTTTTGATAAAATGATTTTAGATGTAAACTCAAAATTGTTTTCTACTTTTTGATCACAAAATTTTTCAAAAAATTTAAAAATATATATTTTTTTTCAAAAAATTAATTTTCAAAAATCTACATCAAATAGAAATTAAAGAATAAAAATCAAACAGGATAAGTCAAAGTTTGCTGATAAAGGGCAAGATATCAAAATTGTCGATTGATGGTGAAATTGAGATGAGTGCTATGCAAAAATTGCGTTTCCCAGTTGAACTTTGATCAATAATGCCGGTGGATCGCATAAATGTTGCCCCTTTTCTCGTGTCTACCAAAAATTGTAGCATGCATCCTTAGATTTTTGGACGATATAACAAATGGTCCACAGAAAAATTACAATCTACCTTCAACTGTGAATGCTCAATTGCCTTGAGTGAATTGTTTTAATGGAGCTGTTGTGAAACAACCAAGATACCAGAATCGATATGATATCAATTGTTGTGGAATAAATTATCGGATTGAAATGTTAAAGTTATATGACAAATAATAATGAAATATTTGATAAAACAAAAGAATAAAGAAGACAAGAATATGGCAAATGATTTAAGAGATTTTATTGACTCAAAAATAATGGAGAAGAAAAAAAATTATAATGGATCCTATAATTTTAGAAATCTATTTTCTCACATTATAAAATGAGAAAATTACCCGAGAACCTGCATTTAAAGATTATATTTCAAAAAAAAAGAAGACTAAGTTTTTTTTTTCATAAATCAGGTGATAAATTAGATTGATTGAAATAATAAATTAAATCACCACCCAATACAATGCACCCCACCCCCCAATCCAACATCCCCAAATCATATATCGACTTCCCTCTCTTCTCCACACTTTACCCTCGCTCTCCCTCTCTTTCAGCTGCAACAAGCAGCCGCTACGCACAGTGGTGCCGCCGGGTTGGAGGTGCTGATCTGCTCGTCACGTCGCCGTCGATGTCGCTGTTGCAAGCAATCGTCAGTTACGCCACTTCAGCTTGCTGTTGCTTCGACACTACGTTGGTGCGGATGTTAGATTTGGGTGAGATGGTGATGCGATGGCGGGTAGGAGGATGGTGGTGGTGGTGGTGGTTGTGCAAATATACATGGTGGTTGGGAGAATCTGTTAAATTGTGTGTGTGTGGGTTGTGGTGGTTATGGTGGCAAGTTGGTGGCTTGGAGGAGGTGGTGGCGGGTTTTGGTGCAAATGGTGGCAATGGTGGTGGTTGATATTTCATCACTTCCGTTTCCCTCACTCTCTCTCATCTTCACCTTCTCTCTTTTTCTCTACCGGCGGAGTTTATTAATTTTTGACAGTTTCAGGCATGAAGTCTTTGTGGGGGAGATTCTTAAGATAGGCTTCCGTTATGACACCTTCCCAGAAGTTTTCAGATAAGTCGACTGCTTCTAAAGAAACAAGTTCTCCAAAACTCACTGGGATTTTTCTGCTCATTTGTTTTTGGAATTGAACCTCAAAAAGAGTTGTGCCAGAGACGAAGATATATCAGATTCTTGAGGTTGCCAAGTGAATTGGGAAGGTTTCCAGTCAATTTACTGAATCACAAATCCAGTGTCTCCAGCCTGTTGTTTGAACATTCAGACAAGCCATC